TCTTTTAGAAGTTACCTACATAATTATTTTTACTAGCATTGTTTTTGTTTTGTAAATTTAATTTACCATCTGGTGTCACTTGCTTTCAGCCTGAAGAATTCCTGTAGTACTTCTTGTATAATGGTTTGCTATCAACAGATTCTCTCAGTTTTTGTATAACTGGAATTTTTTAAAAAATTTAAATCCAAGTTAGTTAACATATAGTGTAGTATTGCTTTTAGGAATAGAATTTAGTGGTTCATCACTTACATACAACACCCAGTGCTCATCCCAACAAGTCCCCTCCTTAATGCCCATTACCCATTTAGCCCATCTCCTCACCCAACACCCCACCAGCAACCCTAAGTTTGTTTTCTGTATTTAAGAGTCTCCTATGGTTTGTCTCTCTCTCTCTCTCTCTCTCTGTTTTAATCTTATTTTATTTTTCTTTCCCTTCCTGTATGTTCATCTGTTTTGTTTCTTAAATTCTACATATAAGTGGAATATATTTGTCTTTCTCTGGCTGACTTACTTCGCTTAGCATAATATACTCTAGTTCCATCCATGTTGTTGCAGATGGTTTGATTTCATTCTTTTTGATTGTCAAGTAATATTCCATTGTGCATGTATACCACATCTTTTTTATCCATTCATTAGTCAGTGGACATTTGGGCTCTGACTGTACTTTGGCTGTTGTCGATAGTGCTGCTATAAACATTGGGGTGCATGTGTCCCTTTGAATCAGCATTTTTGTATCCTTTGGATAAATCTAGTAGTGCAGTTTCTGGGTCATATGGTAGTTCTATTTTTAATTTTTTGAGGAACCTCCATACTGTTTTCCAGAGTGGCTGCACCAGTTTGCATTACCACCAGGAGTACAAAAGGGCTCATCTTTTCTCCACAGCCTCATGAACATCTGTTGTTGCCTAAGTTGTTAATTTTAGCCATTTTGACAGATGTGAGGTGGTTTCTCATTGTATTTTGATTTATATTTGCCTGATGATTGGTGATGTTGAGCATTTTTTCATGTGTCTGTAAGACATCTGGATGTTTTCTTTGGAAAAGTGTCTCTTCATGTCTTTTGCCCAGTTCTTCACTGGATTATTTGCTTTTTTGGATGTTGAGTTTGATAAGTTCTTAATAAATTTTGTGGAATGTTTTATTTCATCCTTTTGAAAGGTAGTTTTGCTGGGTTTAGAATTCTTGGTGGACAGTCTTTTTGTTTTAGTACTCTGAATATGTCTTCCCCTAGTCTTCTGGCCTTAGTTATTTCTGATGAGAAGTCAGCTATTAATCTTATTAGCATTCCCCTATATGTGATTTCTTTTCTCTTACTGCTTTCAAGATATTCAGTCTTTCAACATTATGATTATGTATTGGTGTGGATCTCTGTGTTTATCCTACATTGAGTTCATCGAGCTTCTCAGATGTGTAGATTATCTTTCCACTTCTTTCATCAGTGTCTTGTAGTTTGTAATGTGCAGATCTTTCACCTCCCAGGTTAAATTTATTGCTAAGTAATTTTTTAAAATGTAATTATAAATGGGATTGTGTTCTTAATTTAATAGTTCTTTTTTAGTGTATAAAAACATAACTAATTTTGTATGTTAATTTTGTAACCTGCAACTTCACTGAATTTGTTTTTTAGTTCTAACAGTTTACTGGTGGAGTCTTCAGGAGTTTGATATGTAATAGTATGCCATCTACAAATAGAGACAATTTTACTTCTTCCTTTCCTATTTGGATGTCTTTTTTCTCTTCCATTTTCTTGCCTAATTGCTCTGGCTAGGATTTCCAGTACTTTGTTGAATAAAGTGGTGAGAGTGGGAACCCTTATCTTGTCATGATGTTAGAGGAAGAGCTTTAAATTTATCACTGTTGAGTATGCTGTTAGCTGTGGGCTTATTGTATATGGCCTTTATAATGTTGAGGTATATTCCCTCTACACCCTCTTTATTGAGACTTTTTATCATGAATCGATGTTGAATTTTGTCAGTTCCTTTTTCCATATCTGTTGAACTGATTGCATTATTTTTATCTTTCATTTTGTTAATATTGGTATATCATATTGATTGATTTGCAGATGTTGAGCCATCCTTTCATTCCTAGAATAAATCCTACTTGATCTTGTATATGATTCTTTTAATGTATTATTGAATTTGGTCTGCTAATATCTTGTTGAGGATTTTTGCATCTACGTTCATTAGGGATATTGGCTTGTCATTTTACTTTTTTGTAATTTTCTTGTTAGGTTTTGGCATCAGAGTAATGCTGGCTTTCTAGAACATGTTTGGAAGTGTTCCCTTTTATTTTTTGAAAGAGTTAGAGAACGATTGGTATTAATTGTTTAAATGTTCAGTAGAATTCACCAATGAAGCCATCTGGTTCTGGACTTTTTTTGGTGTGATGCTTTTGCAGTCAAATGCTCTACCCTGAGCTATCCCCCCAGTTGGGACACTTTTGATTACTGATTCAGTCTTCTAACTAGTAATTAGTCTGTTCAGATTTCCTCCTTTTTTATGATTCAGTCTTGGCAGGTTATACGTTTCTTCTTGGTTATCAGATTTGTTGGTGTAAAAGTGTAGAAAGTCTTTTATGAGTTTTTGCATTTCTGTGGTATCAGTTGTAATATTTCCTTTTTCCTTTATTATTTAATCTATTTGTGTCTCTCTGGTTTGTGGGGGGTGGTGGTGGTGATTCTAGCTAAAGGTTTGTCAACTTGTTAATCTTTTAAAATAATCAGATCTTAGTTGCACTGATTTTTTTTTCCAATTTTTATTTAGTCTTTACTTCATTTATTTCTGCTCTGATCCTTGTTTTCTTCCTTCCTCTGGCTTTGGACTTTGTTCTTTTTCTGGTTCTTAAAGATGTAAAGTTAGGTTGTTTATTTGATGAGGTTTTCTTATTTCTTGCTGTAGGCATTTATCACTATTAACTTCCCTCTTAGAATGCTATAACTGTATGCATATGTTTTGGTGTATTTCTGTTTTCATTCGTTTCAAGGTTTTTGATTTCTTCTTTGAGCCATTGGTTGTTTACTTTGTTAATCTATTTGCTTTTTTAATTTCTGAGTCTTTTTTTCTCACAAAAATTTCCATAATTCATATACCTTTTCAAGTTATTATGCGGATTACAGCTTTCCTTCTCTTTTAGTTTTCTTGAAGAGTTAATACTTGATACTCTACTTCCTTACCTTATAATTTACTCCTCAACCCATTTAATTTTATATTTAGCTACTTTTTTGAAGCTCACCTTTGGGTTTAGAACAGCAGTCAGCTTAGTGAAAAGAATTCAGAATTTGGAGTTAGAATTAAAAGGTTAAAGTGCCCGTTTTTGTCACTTACTGTAGAACTCTGAAAAAGTTATTTAACTACCATTCAAAATGTCTGAGGACTGAAAGTTTTGGACATAACTAGGGAGCTTGTTAGAAATGTAAAATTTCAGATCCCACCCTACACGTATTGATCAGATTTTGCAAGTTTACAAGATCTCCATATTGAGAAGCAGTCTTATATCTTTATCTTTGAATCTTAATTTCTTTGTAAAGGGCAGATGGTCCACCACTTAGGACCTGTGGTAATTTTGCCCAGTTTTATGTCATTGTAAATGCTCTGTTTAAGTTAGGCTAGGCTAAGCTGTGATATTTGGTAGATTAGATTATTGTATGTATTTTTGACTTATTATGTGTTTGGCTTATGATGGGTTTATTGGGATGTAACCCCATTATGAGGTGAAGATCTGTATAGATAATACTTATATATATCAGCCATCTTGCCATCATCTCACATACTATATGTTTTACCATTTATTATCTGCTTCCTACTATTAGAATGGAAGCTTTGTGAGGCAGAATTAGAGTATCAGGTTTGTCTTTTTATTTTCCTATTTCCTATATCGAGAACAGTGAGTGGCACAAAGTAAACATTAATTTTTTTGAATGAAGAAATGAATAAATGCATTTTTGGTCAAATCTTGTTATTTGTATTGCAGTCATTTACTTTCTACTGCAATTTAGAGTTAGAATTACTGTACAAATGTAGAAATTACTATTGTTGCAGAAAGTTCTATTAGTGCTACTTACACTTTTGCATTCCCTTCACAACCATCTTGAATCTCTATTTCTGCAGTACAGTTCTGATCAAATCTATCAACAGCTCCCCATGCCGTCTAGAATTAAGTTCAAAATCCTTAGTGTAACCTTTAAATACTTTGTAGTTTCATATAGTTAAAAATATTTATCTTTTTCAGGGTGCATTTATTGGAAGAATCATTTAAACCCACTGCATGTATAGTATCCCTCTGGGCCCTCATAGGACTTGAGGGAAAGGGGAACCCATGAAAATAGGTTGATGATCCTTTGCTATGCCATGGAATAAAGTCTTTTGTCTCTGATTGAAGAGTCTCCTGTCTTTTGCTGGCATATATGACACAATAACAGGCTAACTTATTAGTTTATAACTTAGGGTGAAATCCCAGACTGGAGAGCATTTTCCCATCACTTTAAAAATTCTTGAAAAATCTAAATTTTACGATCCACATAATATATCAAATGGCTATGCTGCTATGTTTTTAATGTTTATTTATTTTGAGAGAGACAGAGACAGAGCATGAACAAGGGAGGGGCAGAGAGAGAGAGGGGAGAGACACAGAATCTGAAGCAGGTTCCAGGCTCTAAGCTTCAGCACAGGGCTCAACACGGAGCTCAAACTCCCGAACAATGAGATCATGACCTGAGCCAAAGTTGGATACTTAACTGACTGAGCCACCCAGGCACCCTGATATGCTGCTGTTTTTAAACACTACTCTATTGTTGACTATTTAAATCATTTCTACATTAGTGTGGAAATATCTTTATAAATATTTGTCTCTTTTGATGAGTGTTTCCTTAGGATTTGGATTCCCTACTAGAAGTGTAAAGGTCATAGGAAGGAAAGCTTACTTTATTTCCTTTATGCATAAAAGAAGTGTTTCTTAATTAAAAAAAAAACATGTACTAGTATTAACAAATCTCTTTTTTTTAGGAGATACGTCTAAAGAAGGCACAGCTACAGTTACTCAGTTCAGTTTGAAACCAGGCATCACTACTACTCCTGGAGATTCAGATACTGGATCTCATTTATCCTTGTTCCCGGAGGACTTTCCTCAGTTGACTTTAAGGTCTCCTCAAGAGAATACTATTGGTCCACATACTGATACACTCAACCAACAAGCATTGGATAGTCATATACCTGAAAAGACTCTAAAAGTTTCAGCTGTTCATGAGCTAGCTGACCAGAAGACTGGGATATCAACAGTACCCTCTAGTTCCTGCTCACAAAGAGGGAAGCCCGATACTTTATACTTACGTGCCTTGCCAGATAGTCACCTAACTGAAGAGGCTACAAAAGTTTTGGCTGTTCTGGGATCTGTTGACCAGAAGACTGGCATACCTACAGTCTTTCCAAGTTCCTACTCACTTGGAGAGAAACACAGTATTTTCTACTCACAGTCCTTGCCAGACAGTTATCTAACTGAAGAGGCTCTGAAAGTTTCAGCTGTTCTTGGGTCTGCTGACCAGGGGACTGAGAAAACAACAGTACCTTCTACTTCCTATTTAGAAAGAGAAAAACACGTTAATTTCTCCCAGCAGCAGTTGTCAGACAGTCATCTAACTGAACAGGCCTTGAAAGTTTCAGTTGTTTCTGGACCATCTGATGAAAACACTGGGATACCTACATTACCTTCAATTTCCTACTCACTTGGAGAGAAGCCCAGTATCTTTTATCAGCAGACCTTGCCAGATAGTCATTTAATTGAACAGGCTCAGAAAGTTTCAGCTGTTCCTGGACCAGTTGATCTAGGTACCCAGTTGACTAGGGTACCTGCAGCATCCTCTACTTACTACTCATATGGAGAAAGTCCCCAAGTTTTCTATCAACAGACAGTGCCAGAAAGTCATCTACTTGAACAGGCTCTGAAATTTTCAGCAGTTCCTGGATCTACTGAGCAGAAGACTGGGATACCAACGGTAACTTCTACTCCCTATTCCCATAGAGAGAAGCCCAGTCTTTTTTGCCATCAGGAGTTACCAGATAGTTCTCTAACTGAACAGGCTCAGAAAGTATCACCTGTTCCTGGACCTGCTGAGCAGAAGACTGGGATACCAGCTGTAACCTCTACTTCCTATTTCCATAGAGAGGAGCCCAGTATTTTCTTCCAACAGAAGTTGCCAGGTAGTCCTCTAACCGAACAGACCCTGAAATTTTCAGCTGCTCCTGGATCTACCGAGCAGAGGACTGGGATACCAACATTAACCTCTGCTTCCTATTCACATAGAGAGAAGCCCAATATTTTCTGCCAGCATGAGTTACCAGAGAGTCCTCTAACTGAACAGGCTCAGAAAATTTCAACTGCTCCTGGATCTACTGAGCAGAAGACTGGGATACCAGCTATAACCTCTACTTCCTATTTCCATAGAGAGAAGCCCAGTATTTTCTTCCAACAGGAGTTGCCAGGTAGTCCTCTAACCGAAGAGGCCCTGAAATTTTCAGCTGCTCCTGGATCTACTGAGCAGAAGACTGGGATACCAACCGTAACCTCTGCTTCCTATTCACATAGAGAGAAGCCTGATATTTTCTTCCAACAGGAGTTGCCAGATAGTTCTCTAACTGAACAGGCCCTGAAATTTTCAGATGCTCCTGGATCTGCCGAGCAGAGGACTGGGATACCAACTGTAACCTCTGCTTCCTATTCACATAGAGAGAAGCCCAATATTTTCTGCCAGCAAGAGTTACCAGAGAGTCCTCTACCTGAACAGGCTCAGAAAGTTTCAGCTGCTCCTGGACCTGGTGAGCAGAAGACTGGGATATTAACCATAACCTCTACTTCCTATTCACATGGAGAGAAGCCTGATATTTTCTGCCAACAAGAGTTAACAGATAGTCCTCTAATTGAACAGGCTCAGAAAGTTTCAGCTGCTCCTGGATTTGCTGAGCAGAAGACTGGGATACCAACCGTAACCTTTACTTCCTATTCACTTAAGGAGAAGCCCTGTCTTTTCTACCAACAAGAGTTGCCAGATAATCCTCTAACTGAACAGGCCCAGATAGTTCCAGGTGTTTCTGGACCAGATGACCAGAATACTGGGATAGCAATAGGGTCTTCTAGGCCCTACTCACTTGGAGAGCAGCCTAATATTTTTTCCCAGCAGGTATTACCAGATAGTCATCTAACTGACGAGACTCTGAAAGTTTCATCTGCTCCTAGACCAGGTAACCCAAAGACTGGGATACCAACAGTACCCTCTAGTTCTTACTCACATAGGGAGAATTCCAGTATTTTCTACCAACAGGTCTTACCAGGCTGTCATCTATCTGAAGAGGCTCTGAAAGTTTCAGTTGCTTGTGGACCAGCTGAAATAAAGAGTGAGTTACCATCAGAAGCCTCTAATTTCTACACAGAGAGAGAGACCAGTATTTTCTTCCAACAAGAGTTGCCAGACAGTCATCTAACTGAACAGGCTCAGAAGGTTTCACCTGTTCCTGGACCTACTGACCAGAAGACTGAGATATCAACAGTAACCTCCACTTCTTACTCACATATAGAAAAGCCCTTTATTTTCTACCCACAAGGCTTGCCGCACAGTCATCTACCTCAAGAAGCTCTAAAAATTACAGCTGTTTCTGAACCAGCTGATGAGAAGATTGGAATACCAGTAGTTCCCTCCACTTCCTACTCACAGAGAGAGAAGCCCATTATTTTCTACCCACAGATCATACCAGATACTCATCTCACTGAAGAGGCTCTGAAAGTTTCAGCCATATCTGGATCAGCTGACTGGAAGACTGGAATACCAACAGTATCCTCTACTTCCTACTCACATAGAGAGGAGCCTATTTGTTTTTCCCCACAGGCCTTGACAGGCAGTCATCTACTTGAAGAGGCTCTGAAAGTTTCAGTTCTTCCTGAACCAGCTGACCAAAAGACTGAGCTACCACCAGAACCTTTTAATTCCTACTCACATGGAGAGAAGTCCATTCTCTTCTACCCACAGAGCTTGACAGATAGCCAGGTACCTCAGGAGGTTCTGAAAGTTTCAGTTCTTCCTGGATCAGCTGACCAGAAGACTGAGCTACCATCAGAACCTTTTAATTCCTACTCACATGAAGAGAAGTCCATTCTCTTCTACCCACAGAGCTTGACAGATAGCCAGGTACCTCAGGAGGTTCTGAAAGTTTCAGCTGTTTCTAGACCAGCTGATCAGAAGACTGGGCTGCTATCAGAACCTTCTAGCTCCTACTCACATAGAGAGAAACCCATTATTTTCTATTCACAGGGTTTGACAGCCAGCCAGGTACCCCAGGAGGCTCTCAGAGTTTCAGCTATTCCTGGACCAGCTGACCAGAAGACTGGGTTGCCATCAGAATCTTCTAGTTCCTACTCACTTGGAGGAAAGTCTTTTATTTTCTACGAACAGGCCTTATCAGATAGACATCTCACTGAAGAGGCTCTTAATATTTCAGCTTCTCCTGGACCAGCAGACCAAGAAACTGGGATATCAACAGCGCCTTCTATCTCATACTCTCATATAGAGAAGCCAAGTATTTTGTACCAACAGCCTTTGTCAGACAGTCAGCTGGCTGTAGAAGTTGTAGACGTTCCAGCTGTTTCTGGGCCAGGTGACCAGGAGATCAGAAAACCAACAGTTACCTCTACTTCCTACTCACATACAGAGAATCCCGTCTTTTCTTATCAGCAAGAATCGCTAGATCTTACTCAAGAGGCTTTAAAAGTTTTAAAGGTTCCTGGACTAGGTGACCAGAAGACTGGCATACCAGCATTAACCTCTACTTTTTACTCACATACTGAGAAGCCCAACATTTCTTACCAGCAGGAGTTGCCAGATCCTAATGAAGGTGCTTTAAGAGTTTTAGGCGCTCCTGGGCCAGCTGACCAGAAGACTGGGTTACAAATTGGGACCTCCGCTTCCTATTCACATAGAGAGAACCCTATCTTTTCTTACCAGAAGGAGTCATCAAATATTACTGAAGAAACTTGGAAAGTTTCACCTGTTTCTGCACTAGCTAACCAGAAGACTGAGATACATATAATCCCCTCTAGTTCCTACTCATCCAGAGAGAAGGGCAGTATTTTTTACCAGCAAGAGTTTCCAGATGTTACTGAAAAAGCTTTAAAAGTTTTCGTTCTTCCTGGACCTGTTGACCAGAAGACTGAAATACCAACAGGACCTTCTAGCTCTTCCTCACATAAAGAGAATCTCACGATTTCACCTGTGATTTTACCAGATGTCCAGAAGACTGAGTTTCTAACAGCTCCCCCTAGTTCCTACTCACAAAAAGAAAAACCCAAAATTTCAACTGTGATTGGATCAGATGACCAGAAGTCTCCATTACTGACAGTTTTTCATAATTCCTATTCTCAGAGAGTAAAGCCCACTATTTTATTTGAACAGCAGTTGCCAGATAGATATCAAAGTGAGGATATTCTGAAGATTTCACCTGTCCCTGAACCAACTGATGTGAATTCTGGGATACCAATACCTCTTTATAGTTCCTCTTCCCACAGAGAGAAATCTAATATTTTCTACCCACAGGAATTGCCAGACAAACATTTAGCTGAAGATGCACTGAAGGTTTCAACAGTTCCTGTACCAGCTAACCAGAAAAGTCTGTTACCAACAGCTCCTCCTAGTTCCTTTTCACACAGAGAGAAACCAAATATATTCTACCAACAGGATTTTCCAGATAGACCTCTACCTGAAGATGCTGTGATGTTCTCAAGTGGTCTTGGGCAAACTGATCAAATTAGTGGGTTATCAACAGTTACTCCTGGTACTTATTCACATAGTGAGAAGCAGAAACTTGTTTCAGACCATGTTCAAATGCTAATAGATAATTTGGATTCTCCTAACTCCAGTATTATCTCAAGTAGTATGCCTTTAAGTTCTCAGGCTGCTGGTAGAGTTGTAATAAGTAAGCCAGAATCTTTAGGTTTTGAAGATATTGGCTCTGATGAAATTCAAGATACAAGCAATAGTTCTAAAACTCTTAAAGAGATTCGGACCCTTTTAATGGAGGCAGAAAATATAGCACTGAAACGATGCAATTTTTCTGCTCCTCTTGTCCCTTTCCGAGATGTTAATGATATTTCATTTGTACAATCTAAGAAGATGGTTTGCTTCAAAGAACCCCTCACAGCTGCTGAATTTAATAGTGATTTGCCTCAGAGACTGCCATATACAGAGGAAAGCCCAAGTGACAAGTACATACAGAAAGATAGTAGCACACAGACAAATCTGAAATGCCAGAGAGGCATTGAGAATTGGGAGTTTATTAGTTCAACAACAGTTAGAAGTCCTCTACAAGAAGCAGAAAGCAAAGCCAGAGTGAGGTTAGATGAAACTCTTCGACAATATAGAGCAGCCAAATCCGTAATGAGATCTGAACCTGAAGGATATTGTGGAACCATTGAGAATAAAATTGTTATCCCTTTGATGACTGTCATTAAAAGTGACTCAAGTAGTGATGCCAGTTCCTGCTCGTGCGACAGTAATTCTTTGGAGTCAGTTTCTGATGTTCTTGTAAACTTCTTTCCATATGCTTCGCCCAAGACAAGCTTGACAGATAGCAGAGAAGAAGAAGGTGTGTCAGAGAGTGATGATTGTGGTGGTAGCAGTGTAGATTCACTGGCTGCACATGTCAAAAACCTCCTCAAGTGTGAATCCTCATTGAATCATGCTAAGCAAATACTCAGAAATGCAGAAGAAGAGGAATGTCGAGTACGAGCACGAGGTAGGAACTGATCATTTGTCAAGTCAGGTCAGGCTTATAAACATTATAGTTTAATAATTTGTTTAAAGTTAAGTGTTTGGACTCTAAATTTATTTTCTTGTAGAACTGTTGAATGGTTAAGTTTTCCACCACCATGCAGAATAAGTCCATTTAACCAATAATGTAACTAAGTCACAGTATTAACAGTAGTAGTCTGAGTTTAGGGTCTTAGGTATGTAGGTTCTGAAGCCTGAAGGAGAGTAAGGAGATAGCTTGAGTTTCCAGATTCCTAAAGTACTTCTGTTTCCTTAATCCTCCTATTATAGGATTCTCTTTTAAAGGCAGAAACAAACAAAAAACAGTTTGCTCTCCTCTAAATCACACTGTATCATAAAACTAAATACACTTCTCCTCTTTTCTAATACAGTTCTTAGAGCATATTTTATACATTAGAAAAAACTGAAGTATTTCACACTAAAACTTGGGTTAGAGGTTTAAAAGAAGATGTTCTAATCCCATTAATCTCTAATAATAGAATGCCATTAAAAAAATGTATAAGACAAAATGGGGAATTAAAATTTTTAAAAAAATATTTATTCATTAAAAAAATTTAATGTTCCTATTTATTTTTGAGACAGAGACAGAGCATGAGCAGGGGAAGGGCCAGAGACAGAGCGAGACATAGGCTCCTTAGCAGGCTGATGCAGCAGCCCTGATTTAGGGCTCAAACCCACGAACTGTGAGATGCTTAACCAACTGAGCCACCCCGGTGCCCCTGGGGAATATATTTTAGAGAGCAACCTATAAACAGTTCAGGCCTACTTGGGATTTTTCCCTTGAGATTAACTACTTGCCATTCCTTTTATCACTTATGCATATTTGACTCTCCAGAAAACTCCAATAATTTATTATTGTTAAATACCAGCTCTCACGGAAGCAGCAGTAACTGTAGCAGGAATGTATAGGGGAGGCAAAGGGACTGTCTGATTGGAAGGAAGATTAAGATAAAAATAATTGAAAAATCATATTAAAGTGGCCTCTGGAGAAATACCTGTAGAATGTGGTTTTTAAAAACCACACTTTTCAGTGAAATGATTGCTCTTAAGAACTTCTAATAGTTTGTCATATAATTGAGAACACCTACATTTTGCTAAGTATTGTGGTAGGCATTTAGTTGGATGTATTGATGGTTTTCTGTGTCCTTGTAATCACTGACAAATTATGATTTTTGAGTTGCATTATCTCCAGTGTTTTTATGTTTTCTTTTTAGCCTGGAATCTGAAATTTAATCTGGCTCATGAGTGTGGCTACTCCATTTCAGAATTAAATGAAGCCGACAGGAGAAAAGTAGAAGAGATCAAAGCAGAGTTGTTCAGTCATGGGAGAACAACTGAGTTGTCCAAGGTATAAAAGAAATCTAGCAATGAAGAAAGGAAATGTGAAAGAAAGGGTGGTGGAGTTTGTATCTCTTACTTGGGCATTGATGACACCAACTGAGTCATTAATAGTCTTTGGCTAAAGTTCCTATTTAAGGATTAGGCTCCGTAGATTTTGATTAATTTCAAATTCATCTATTGAAAAAATTTATCTCCTTAGGAAAATAAGAATAGATTTGCCTTATCATTTTTATTTCCTCTTGAGGGTAATAGCTTGAAATGCAGATCGAGTCCAGCTAATTTTCAGATGTGTATTATCTACTTTATATAATAGCTTATGTAAAAATAATTTTCATTTTCATAGTACTTATTTTCATCCAGTTGTGAATTACTTCATACATAGTAAAGAATATATATGAAATATATATAAAGAATGAAAGAAAAATATAAATAGTTCCTGTTTATTGGCTAACTAACTTGATAAGTGGAATGTTACCAAATACCAGAGAAGTCCTGGGTGTCCCCTCCCCAGCCATACATCTGTTACTTCCTATCCTGACATGTATTGATTTTCTCTTGTGTTCAATATGGTTTTGAATTCTTTAATAGAGTCAACATGGTACATATTCTGAGAATTGCATTTTTCATTTAGACTTGGGTTTTTGAGATTCTTCTGTGCAGGTGTATACAGTTTTAGTTTATTTTTAGTACTGTAAGCTTTCTAGTGTATGAATATATCATAGTTTGTCCATTCTCTTGTGGATAGGGCATTTGGTCTGCTTTTATGAACAGTAATAGGATATGGTAATATGTATCTTACAAGGTTTTGGTATAGGTTATATGAGATAATGCTTAGTAGAATGTGTGATATCTAGCTTTCATTAATTGGCAGCTATTATATTGCTATTGCTAAAAATAGATAAGATATATACATAAGCTTTATGGCCTAATTCATACAGTTTTTTAGAAAATTTTTTGTCAGTGATACAACATAATTATTTGGCTTATCTCTTTTATGAAAAAATTTTCTTAAAAGTATAACTTACACTGGATTTTACAACTAATCCAATGTTATTTTCACATAACACTATACCACTTCAAGTAGTGTGAGTACCTTCTAATAACAAAGTACAGTTGATCCTTGAACAGTACAGCAGTTAGGGGAACGAGCTCTGCACACAGTTGAAATTCTGCATATAATTTTTAACTCCCCCAAAACTACTAATGGCCTACTGTTGACCACAAGCCTTACAGATAACATAGTCAGTTAACATATTTTGTAAGTTAGGTGTTTTATATGTTATATTTTTACAAGAAATGTAATCTAGAGAAAAGAAAATGTTACTGTCATAAGGAAAATACATTTACAGTACTATACTGTATTTATCAAAAAATTCAGTGTGTAAGTGGACACATGCAGTTCAAGGGTTAAATGTATTCCTGATTTCTCCTCCTCATCCCTTGTATTATGCTGTCATTCATTCATACATATATATATACACACATGCACAAGCAATATTTTGAACAAACTGTTATCTGTGAGATCAGTTAAGAATAAGAAAAAAAGTGTGTATGTGTGTTTTTAACTGTTACTTCTTTGATATTCTTCCCTTTATGTAGATCTGAGTTTCTGACTTGTATTTTTCTTTTCTCTAAAGTACTTCTGTTAACATCTGTTGCATGGCACGTCTTCTGGCAACAAATTCCCTTTACTTTTGTTTGTCTGGGAAAGCCTTTATTCCTCCTTCAGTTTCAACGATGATTTCATAGGGTATGGAATTCCAAGCCTGTACTTTTTTCTTCAACACTTTAAATATTTTATTCTTTTCTTGTTTGCATAATTTCTGAGGAGACGGCGGATATAATTCTTTGTTCCTCTGTAGATAAGGCGGTTTTACCTTCTAGCTTCTTTCATTATTTTTTATCTTTGATCTTTTGTACTTTGAAAATGTCATATATAGGTAATTTGGCGGGGGGCATTTATCCTGCTTTGTGTTTTGTGAACTTCTTGGATCTGTACTTCAGTGCCTGACAGTTAATTGAGAGGAAATTTTTAATGTTTTATTTTATTTTTGTGAGAGAGAGAGAGAATATGAGTGGGAGAGGGGCAGAGAAAGAGGGAGACGACATAGAATCCGAAGCAGGTTGCAGGCTCCAAGCTGTCAGCACAAAGCCTAATGTGGGGCTCGAACTCACAAACCACAAGATCATGACCTGAGCTGAAGTTGAAGCTTAACTGACTGAGCCACCCAGGTACCCCATGGTGTTTATTTTTTTTTGAGTCTTTGTTCTCTTTGCTTTTTAATTTTGGAGTTTTTGTTGAGATATCCTCTGCTCAGGATTCTTTCGTTAGCCATGTCTGGTTTAGTAATAAGCCCATCAAAGGCATTCTTCATTTCTGTTAAAGTGTTCAATTTCTAATATTTCTTTTTCATTCTTTATTAGGATTTCCATTTCCTTGCTTACATTGTCCTTGTGTTCTTCCCTGCTGTCCACTTTATCCATCAGAGCTCTTAGCATATCATCATTGTTTTAAATTTCTGGTCTGATAATGCCAACATCCTGACATGTCTGGTTTTGATGCTTGCTATTTCTTTTCAACTAGTTTTTTTTGCTTTGTAGTATGCTGTGTTGTGGGGCCTGTAGCCGGTTTATTACATTAAAAATATGCAATTATGACCTACGAATAAAGTGACATTAGCCACGCTCACAAGGCTGCCAGATAGCTTCCACGGCATCCAGATTTCCACTCTGGGGAAGTGAAAATCCCAAGGTCATTTTGATTGAAGATACAGTTTTGGTACACACACCCAAAGGAAGTAAGGTTGCAATATTTATTACTTACTGATCCTAGAAGCAGGGGTAGTAGTGGGTGGGTGGGTGTGGGTTACGGCCAGGGCCACTCAGTGAGCTCTAGGGGAAAGGCAGCCCTCTGTCTCAGGTCATGAGCAAGCAGGAAATAAGAGAACAGGGTAGCAAGCACCTATTACCTATAAGGTGGTTGGGGCAAAAGTCACTAACTTTTCATGGGCTCAAGTCTTAAGTTATCGTTTCATAAAGATGCTTGAGGGAAACAAAGTGGAGACTTCTGGTGGGGAATCCCAAGCTCAGGTTCTTATTTAACTGTCCAGACTCTGGGTGTGAGCAGCGTTGTCATACTGTAAAATGCCTAGGCAGCAACTCAAAATAGCTTTTTTCTCATCACAATTGACCCTGTGATGCTTAAGCATTAGTCTTTAGGGAAAGCCATGGGCACTGTCCAGATGGTGGAGATATTAAAAGCCACTGGCAGAGTTCTGGTCATCTAGCTCATGAAACATTTGAGTAAAGCAAAAATGCTGGTCAACATATCAGTAGACAAATGGTAATTTGAAATCCTGTCTGTAACCATCCTCCCATTTGCCAGGGTCCAGTCAAGAAAATAAATCAAAGTCCATGGATAAGGTTAGGGTAAGTATTTGATTAAAAACTTGGGTAAGATTATGGAATACTTGTACCTGTTGGGTCACCTTTTGTATATTTGTCTAAATTTGTCCAGAATTATTGATATGTATATAGCAGGTGGTGCACTGTATAGTGTATATACCTCCTTCCTTGACCAATAAGGAATTTAAAGCTAAATGCATATCCAAAACTGTCTGCACTAAAGAATCATGTTGTTGCATGAAGTCTAGGCTTTGGTATAGCAGCCCATTCTATTCAGCTAGGGTGGCTGACAGGTTAATGTTTGCCTTAATGATCTGTTGTTGTATGCCTAGTGATGGTGTTCCTGCAAGGGATTGTGGCAGACCTGTTGTCAACATAATGAGGATGAATACTGAATGTTTTTGACATGCGAGGACAGAATGAGAGATGGATTGAGTGTATCTCCAAGCTCTATTCCACACTTGGTGGCATTTCAGGTATAGCCACTCTTGGGCAGACTTCAGTACATGCTGTCTTACATCCTGGGGTGCAATTGTGGGTGAGTGCTCTTCACTTCCACCAGCCTTCTAGTTGCCTGTCTGGGATCATGGAGAAGCCTCATGACCTACATGTTACAAAAGGTGCAGAGTAAGGCCAGCAGTAGCAAGCATCTGTGTTTTATAGTTTTGTCCTTCTGACTGCTTCCTGAGAATATTATGGGGCCCTTGTGGATCAGCAGCTCATCGGTAGCCTCCTCCAAAGTGAGGTAGGGCAGGTATTATGATCATATCATTAGTATGTCATCTAATATTGCTGGTGGCAACCAACAGGAGTGCCTCTTCCCCCACTGTGAGTGCCGTGCCATTCCTTCAGTGGGCCCAAGTGAGATTACTTCCACTTCTTGTGGGGAGGTATGGTTAGGAGAAATTAGCCATCTACTGGAGCCACTGTACTTTGGAATTTCAGTTGGAATTTGAATATCAAGTAGGTTAGGATGGTCCAGTAGCAACATAGCACAATAATGTGTTCTTCTACTGGGCGAGAACTGTCTATGACCAGGGGAGGTAGCCATCTGTTCTCAGTCAGGTCACTAGTGAATATTGGATGGTGAGATGATTGACATTTTAAAGCTGTAATGTTGGAAAAAAATGTAAATATTGTTCTGTAAGATAAAAGTATCAAGTTACTCCATGATAACAACCATAGGCAGCATGGCATGGTAAGCCTAGGTGGTATGAGGAGAGTGATGTTCATATGTTTTAGAGTTTAAAATATTTTAAAGTCCCTGAGGTAGCAAGGAAGTCCATTTAGGAGTCTATCTGCTGCCTTGTAACTTAAGGAGCAAGGATTTTAAAAGACCTTTGTGGTATTGAATAATGCCAGAGGTCTATAGCTGCTGTGGGAGGTAAAAGTTTCAATAGATGCCCTGTTGGAAAGCCCAGTGCTATGTTGTATGGATAGTAAAATGAGATCCTTGATCTGAGTCAGTGTTGTCTGGAGGGCTGAATGGGGACAGGATAACTTAGAAAAGAAAGAGATGACATGCTCCATGGAGCTGTTCCTGGAGAGGGTAGCAAGCAGCAGGCTGGTAAAAGTATCTATACGTGTAATAGCAAAGTGGGT